CTCCCCGATATTGGACTGAAGAAGTGGTATTTCAATGCCAAATACTTGTTGCGCGCAGACATTTTGGGAACATTCACAAGAGACAAGCAACTGGTTGTCTTCAGAACACTGTAGAGCGCACGAGACTGTCATGTAATTACCGCATATTCATTTTGCTACCAATTTCTTTGGCAAAGCTCGCATAGGAAGCAGCTCCCTCATTGACATGCTGAGGCAACATATCAGCAGCAGTGGAGCTCAAAGTAATGTCAGTCTGTAGCTTGCTGGACCAGATGATAGGGCACCCAAACAAGTCAAGACAAAACCAGTCGAGACTTGACGGACACAGGATCCTGTTCATCTCATATCCATACAATCCGGCGAGTCAGCATCGACCCAACAATCAAGTCCCTGATCAAGTTTAGGCTAAAACAAATGCCTTTGTCACTTGTGCCAATCAGATACCGAATGATACTTTTGATTGCTTGAGCATGGGAATGCCTGGGATTTTGACTGAATCGTCCACCTGGTGCACACTAAATGTATGTCTGGGCGAGTGTTCGACGCAATATAAAGCAGCATCCCAACTGCAGCTGGGTAGCTCACTCTTCTTCAAATGGGGCCCCAGTTTGTCAGCTCCGAGAGGATCGGTGGCGGCAGGAGAAAGCTTCTTGCTAGCGTCAGACATACCAGTATATTCGATGACCTTGTTGATGAGCCCTTTTTGAGTAAGCTCAACATTGTCTCCCTGTCTTTCAAAATTATGCCGAGGAATCCAAAGATGTCACCCTTTTCTTCCATGGTGAGGTCATATCCAAGTTTCTGGAGCTGCCAACATAGGACTCAATCAGTCATTGTCTGGCTGAGCCAGATTTGGTCATCACAATAATTTAATACCATGAGTTGATGCTCCTTATGAATAAACAACATGGTCTGCTGCCGAGGTTTCGAAACAAGTTGGACCATCCCACGACATAGATGCTCATAAAATAATTTGGGTGAATCGGTCTGCCCATAGATGGACTTGTCAAGTTTCACAACACAGTCCTGTCCTTCATAATCTTTGGGTCGATAGTACTGAGGCAATTCCATGTACAGTGGCTGGTCGACAGGCTGAGGGCTTTGACAGAAAGCAAGAGTAAAATCAACTTGTCTCGATTCCCATCCATGTGAGCTGCAAGAAGAAGACGGCTCTAACAGTGGGCCAACAACAAGTGGAGAGTATGCGATGCCTTCATAGGACTGAAGGTCTCCTCTGCAGCACCATCTAGATTTGAACTTATTTAATTTCCTCTGGTAACCTCTTAATGTTGACCCATGTTCCAGGAACTGCCTTGAGGTGTGAGGGCATAGAAGAACGTTGTACGATGTGCCAAGTCCCTTTGCCTTCAAGGCTGGCAATTTCTTTGTCCATTGCTGCCAGAAGTGGTCTGCATGTGGTCCCATCAGAGATTCCTTCAGAGAGGGAGATCAGGGTCTTTGGAAATTTTGGCCTTGAGAGCCAGTGGGCTTTGAAGAATGCCAGGATGAAACGATCCTGGGTGTTGGTCAAAGGTGAATATCCGGTTACTTGAGATTGTAGCATGTGCCCTGAATTGGAGTGATTCCAAAAGTCATAGCTAAGGCACAACAGAGCATGGATGAAGGCGTGAGTAAGTCTTTAGTTTCGGTCATGTTCAGAGTCTCAGGCTTCTTGTTGTGAGCTGTCCTACTGGGATTCCGACGTGGGGCAGTGACAGGATTGCTCGATGGGAACATCTGTGGTGGGAGTGCTGACGATGGGAGGCTCCCTTGCCCAAGTCGAAGGCAGTTGCTGTGTCTAAGCGAGGTAGGCGATCTGGAATCTCCCTGTGTGAGACTTGGGGCTGAGCTGGAGACGGAGCTTGAAAATGAAGATCATCCCTTTTGTCTTTGCTCTTGTCATCCTGCCATAATTTTCTCCCATGTCGAAGCTTTCTGAAGATGAGATCGGTGCTGTTGATGGCCTTTTCCTCTGGAGTAAGCCACTCGTCTGCTAAGGGAGGTGGAGTGTCCTCATCAAATAGGGTCTCGAAGCGTTGGAAGATGGTCGAAGGGCATCGTGGCCAAGTATATTCCGACTCTGGAACAACGGGCCGACATTTTCACTAAGGGTCTTCCGGCTCCACAGTTTGCTGTCATTCGGAAGCTCCTCATGGGATGGTAATTTGCCTCAGCACTTTGCTGGGGACTCTCTCCTATCGTTTCTTGCTCCAGCTTCATTTTAGCTGTAAGGGAGTGCGACGGGATACAGCTTACAATTCAGCTTTACAGCTTTACAATTAGCAGGCTTATTCTAGAAAATAATCAATAACTGCTCACTTATTTGGAAATACAAACTTTACATCTCTTAGATCCTTAGACTAGTCAATGCACAATGGTATTGTCGCACTCATGGGCCCATTTCAATATTTCCAAATACCCATTCTTTGCTGCCGCAGCACCCATTGGAACAGCTCTAAATGCCCTCCTTTTGCAGCAGCAGTGCATGTTGCTTTAGTCCAATGGCAGTCATTTTGGTGGGCATACTGTACCACTTCCAAATGGCCACCTTCTGTCCTATTCCAGCATGTCTCTTAATCCCATGGACAGCCAATTCTCATGAGCATATTTGAGCACATCCAAATGCCCACCTTTTAACTAAAATTGGTGAATGCTTGGCCACCGTTGTCTGAAGCGATCTTATCGAGCCAATTGCACACTACTAGAAACTAGAAATAATAGACAACTGAGCTGTTCCCATCACACACATGAGTACCGTACGGTCGTACAAATTGTTACGCTAATTATTTTATTTGCTGGTAGAGCACAAGAACAAAAAGCCAACTGATGTGCATCAATTATTACAGGCCCAATGCGATACTTCTGGGTGGCCATTCATTTCAGCACTGGCACATGTATCTGTATCCCAAGGGCATCCATTCTCATGTGCCCATTTCAGGATATCCAGATGTCCATTTCCTGCAGCTCTCGAGCAAGTGTATGTCCAGGGGCAATGGTTCTCACGAGCAAATTGTAATACTTCTATATGGCCATTTTCTGCAGCACACATGCAGGTCCTTTCATCCCATGGGCATCCATTGGCCTTCAACCACCTCAACACATTCAAGTGACCATTTTTGGCAGCACCCCACGATGAATCGGCATCCCGTGGGCATCCATTTTCGCGTGCAAACTTTAGATCATCCAAATGGCCGAACAAAGAAGCCATTTGGCATGTGCTTGCATTCCATGGACATCCATTTTCATGAGCAAACTTCAATGCATCCAACTTTCCACCTTTGGCTGCATTTTCGCAAGTGTTTTCATCCCATGGACAGCCATTGTCATGAAGCCACTTTAGAAGGTCCACGTACCCGTGTTCGGCAGCAACCGCACAGGTGCCACTGTCCCACGGAAATCCTTTTTCATGAGCCCATTGGATCACTGGCAGACTCCCAAACTTGGCAATGGTCTGGCAAACAAGATTGCGTCGTGGAACGCTTCCGTCGCCCCTGGATTGATCCCAATACTCGGCACAACTGACGCAATAAAAAGCGTTGCGGACGAAAGTGTCTGTGCTGGCAAATTCCCTTCCAATGAAATGAATCCTCACAGATGGAGGATTCATCACAGTGGTGCAGTATTCCTGATAAAGCTGCTTCAGTTTCCTATTGACGGGAGCTACAAAAGGCATAGTGTCCCAAGCCGAGAAATGGAAAGATCATCTTGACCCAAATATCCTTCCAATCGAACAACAAGGGGATTCCAGTAGTATCATCTTCCAATTTCTGCCTCTTTTGTTTGGGATTGGAGAACATGGTGGGATGGAAAGGCTATAAATTGGTCCGGTGCTTGAGGCGGTTGGCTCCTTTGATCATCAAAACCCATTGACTTCAAAGACCCTTCGGGTGCAGCACGCAAACTCATTTTCTTCGATTGATCTGCGGGCCAATTTTGCGATCATTCGTCCGTTGAGTGAGTGACGAGTGGAATCGAGTCCCTTTCAGGACTTCTTGATTGATAATGATGCGTTTCCCTTTCTGACTTGCCATGTGCCAACATGAACTGAAAGCCTTTAAGAAAGGTCAAGATTTATGGAGCATTAGTTTTAGAATGTCCGTGGTTCTGTGAGATCATTTAAGCCCCGCTCCCAACTGTACCGGTACCGCCCATAGTGAGCGAGGTTCGCATTCGTGAGGTCACCTCACGATTTAAACAAACAAGGGGGTCTGGGGGTGGCTCGTGCAATTTACTTTGGCTCTTTTGAATAGGGGAAAAGAGTACAAAACCTGATTCTGCAATTAAGAGGCATTCTTGAAGTGCTTTTGGTGGGTTAAACCATGCACTAGTAATTAGTAAGGATTTTTTCAGAGGAAATCCTTTTACGTACTTTAAACCATCACTTTCTGGTTATGGTTTGAATTGTACGAAGCCTTCATTTGCTTTCAATACAGAGTACTAGGTGATTTAACAGCCAATAGGTTTGTGAAAAAGACTTAAACTAAGCTGTTATCTTCGTCTTCTTCTAGATCCCACTCTAGATCCTCTGGGAGCAATGTTTCTAACCTAGCAATCATTTCGAGCAGAGCTTCTGGCACTGAAAAATCAACATCTTGAGGTAGTTTCTTCATAAGATGAAGCCCAGCTCTGGCTTTGACTCTAGAGAGGGAAACGTAGTTCCAGTTCTTGACTTTACTCCACGTTGAGATAAGAAGATCTTGTTTTGTCTGGCCTTGTAGTTTGTGACCAGTGATAGCATTGTTGGTGAGAAGTGGGAGCTGTAGAAGTTGTACTGTAAAGTTGATGGTGCTTTCTGTGTGACCAAAGTGCTTCGGAATGGGGGCTTTTACAAGACATGTCAAGGTCTTAGGTTGGATCTTGAAGTATTTGGTTTGACTATCCTCTGCTCGGCATAGCAAATAGTCAACCTGAGATGCTTCCACAGAAGGGCATTGCATACCATCAAGTTCCAGGCCCTTCGGTGTAGAACCACCACAGAGAACCACTTCTTCCAAGATCACTCTGGTTCCATTAGCGTGACCATTTGGAACATCCTCGTTGGTAACCAGCATTAGAGGCAACCCATAATAGAGTTTCAGCATAGGATCTGCAAAATGACCTCTGGTAGAACGCCCTTTTTTTGCAGTAACTCTGTGATCTGGACAGTTCTCATAGATGAAGTGCTTGTCTGTGTTCTTTAAGTCTTGTTTTGCTCCACTTTTGGACAATCTGGTCATATTACTGGCTCGTACAACTATCATGTCACTTGGCATCTCTTTTGACTTCCCATAATGCGCTTTTAGTAGATTGTGGAAGATCCCAGCATTAATGGCTGTGCGATCTCGGTTTGCATAGACACAGTAGGAAGTAGTACTGGGTAGTTCTGTGCCAGGTTGAAGAAGGCACTCATTGATAGCATCAATGTCATGGTGTGTGTAGTTTCCATTTCTAATCCGTTCCAAAATAGCCCCCCATTCAGGATCATCTTCGAACCGATGTCGGCCAAATAGCTCAATATAACAATTAATGGAGGTGATCCATTTCTTGTCACTATAGTAGGGTGAGTACAGGGGGCTTCCGGTACAAGGCTCCAACTGTCTGAAATCTCCACAAAAAAGAATGTGAATACCCCCAAAGAGAGAAGTGTACCTCTGTCGCAATTGACGTAACCTCTCATCCAGCTTCTCCACTTCATTGGTGTTCATAAAGGACACTTCATCAATAATCAAAAGTCGTGCATTTGTCCAGCTTTCAATGTCATCCTCTGAGGCCTTCTGTTTGTTTAAAGCAGTCACGGAATGGGTGGTTTCACCGCCAATAGAGACAGCTGCAACACCAGACATTGCACTAACAATGATGGTTCGCATGTCAAATTTGAAACCCATATTCTCTGTAAATTCTCTGGCATATTTCAAGATTTCCTTAACAACCCTGCTTTTGCCTGAACCACCCGCTCCTGACAGGAACATCAACAATGGCTTGTGAAGTCTCTTAAGCCTTGAAAGCTTCAATAGCTTTCTCTTTTGTTCATTGAAGTCATGGCGAACTGAACTGGGGTTTTGTATGGAGTCCCTGTAAGAAGAAGGGTCAACAGTTTCAGCATCTTCATAATACGTCAGTATGTAGGCTGCTGTGACGATTCTGAATGCCAGCTTCTGTTCTCTGTCCAGATTCAATTCCTCTTTGTTTGACCACCGTATAATAGATAAAGCAGTACCATCAGCCAGGTTCACACTGGAACTGTGATCAGAAGATGCATCCACCACCCTTCTTCTAACGTTACGGTAGGTCAGGACCATAAGTTCATAAGGTGAAGGCTTGTCTCTTAATCTTTTGGTTGTTTTGCTTCGAGTGGATGCATCAGATATATTTAAGCCTTGGCTGGTAGCTGTTTTAACAAAAGCTGTACCAACTGAAGACTGCATAGACCTTTCTTTCATGCAGGGTAGGCCCACAAACCCACATCTTCTAGCTCCCTGACTGCGAATGTTTTGCAGAGACATTTTGCAGTCAATGTCATCATCATTTTTATCTGAAAAAGAACTTGATGCTCTCTTATTTGATGAGGCCAATAAGTCAAACAGGCCTTCAAAGAACATATCATCAGCATCAAACTCGTCTTGTTTTTCATTTTGTGCTGAGTCACTTCCAGTATTGCCCTTAGGAGCAAAAGCCTTGGTACACTTATTGATTGGATCTTCTCGGGCTGGCATTCTCATACTATTGTAAAACATCTGAACATTGGAGAGAATCTCTCTAATATGTCCTGGCAATTGAATACCATTGTGGTACAGATGCATGAATTTCCTGTGAAAAGATCCATCAATTGTTAAATCATCAAGGCTCCTGAAAGGGTGATACAACACAAGCACGCTTCTGCAATATTTCTCCACACTTGGATGGACTGGATAGCTAGTCATGGTAAGCATATCACCACCAAAACAGCTGGTATCAGGAAATTCCCAGTGGCTGAATTGAGCAAGGGCTGGGATTTTCCTCTGCCTTATGACTTGCTTCTTGAAACCCGGATGGTTAGGATCATCTAAGTCATATAGAGCATCTTCCTGCCCAGCTCTGTCGGTTCGAACAATTTCATAGTCCTGGAAAAAGTCAACCATGCAGAGATGTTCAAAATTATCGGATGGCCTTTTCAGATAGTGCAATGCCTCATTGGACAGAAAGCATCCCTCAGTATGGGTCATCACTGACATTGGCAAGGATTCATTTCCTTGATCTTGGACCATTATATCAACAACTTCCCTGATAGGAATGTACTTGAAGTTCACTGAGAATGTGAATCTGGACTGGTTC